ACATTACAGACAGACACATTATCATCCTTTGACCTTTACAAAGATTTATAAAGGAATAATGATGGCATTTTAAATGTTCCTCAGATAATATACCAATTAATACAATTGGAAAGCAAAAAGACACAACTTTATTTTTGACAACAATAACACTGAGGAGTGGAACTCCTCCACTTCAAGTATCTCGGGGTTTTGCTCATGAGTGGGGGAAGAATGGAGCGTGAGATTGACAGATGGATTGGTGCAGTGTCTGCAGTATTGCGGACTCTGTACCAGTCTGTTGTGGTGAAGAGAGAGCTGGGCTGTAAGACAAAGCTCTCTGTTTACCAGTCAGTCTATGTTCCTACCCTCACCTATGGTCACGAGCTCTGGGTAGTGACCAAAAGAATGAGATCGCAGATACAGGCTGTAGAAATGTTTCCTCTGCAGAGTAGCTGAACTCTCCCTTAGCGACAGGGTGAGGAGTTCAGTTATCAGGAGAGATTCAGAGTAAAACCGCTGCTCCTCCACATCAAGAGGAGCCAGTTGAGGTGGTTTGGGCATCTGGTAAGGATGCTCCCTGGGATCCTCCGTAGGGAGGTGGTTAGGGCATGTCAGACTGGGAGGAGTCCCTGGGGAAGACCCAAGACATGTGTCTCGGTTGGCCTGGGAACACTTTGGAATCCCCCCAGAAGAACTAGAAGAGGTGGCTGTGGAAAGAGATGGATGGGCCTCCCTGCTATAGCTGCTGCCCCCACGTGATGTGATTTTTTTTCCACAGTGATTATTCTGGTTAGAGATTCATGAGTCTAATAGCCTCAGGGTAGAAGCTGTTCTTCAGTCTAGTGGTTCTACACTTAATGCTCCTCAACCTCCTTCCTGAGGGGAGTGGGGCAAAAAGTGTGTGTGCTGGGTGAGTGGGGTCCTTCATGATGCAGGTGACCCTCTTCCTGCATCTTGAGGTGTAGATGTCTGTGATGGTGGGGAGACTGACTCCAACAGACTTCTGTGCAGCCTTCACCACTCTCTGCAAAGCTTTTCTTTCTGCAGCTGTGCAGCCTCCATGCCACATGTTGATGCTGGAGCACAGGATGCTCTCCACTGCACACCTGTAGAAGGAGGTGAGGACTGAATTTCCCAGCGCAGCTCGTCTCAGCCGTCTGAGGAAGTAGAGTCTCTCATGAGTTTTCTTGATCAGGCTGGAAGTGTTGTTGCCCCAGCTGAGGTTGTCATTCATGTGTACACCCAAGTATTTGTAGCTGGAGACCACTTCCACTGTGGATCCTCTTATGTTCAAGGGGGTGTAGGTGTTTTTGTTCCTTCTGACGTCCACAATCATCTCCTTTGTCTTCTTCACATTGATGTGAAGGTTATTCTCTTTGCACCAGCTCGCCAGGTGTTCCACCTCCTGCCCGTAGCTGTGTAGTATGAACATATGCTGATATATATTCATAAATTAAACGGATTCTTTCATTTTTCTGGACTGTATAATGACGTGCATCTGAATTTAATAAAATGTGGACGTGAGACGTTAATTATCTTTGACTCACCAACGACAGTGGGTCATTTATTAACAGAATCAAGTTTAACACATCACACATTTACATTAATTGGCAAGAATTGAAAATAACGACAGCTTATTAATGAGTTTTACAGGAAGTAAACAATGCAGCGATTGTTTTCTCACTTCCAGCAGAACAGCAGACATTAACCACACGGCGGTGATTGAAAAACTTTGCTTCAGACATTTCTAAAAATATCTGGAATGATTTCTTAGCAGAATAGAAGAGTTTAAAGATTGAAGTTTAGAGGGAGGGAGATGGTGTGTGTGTGAGTGAAAAGTGTTGGACAGAACGACACCCTCCATTCGACCCAGCTTTCCTCGGTACGCTCGGTAGTCAACTCGACTCATTACTACCTCTCTGACGATGAATCAGTGAAAGCGGAGCTCCGGTTACGCTACCGGTCCAGCGTCTCCGTAAGATGGCAGAGAACCGTCCGGAGTGGTGACGCGACTTCGTCAACAACAGTTCAGCTCACGGTGGACTCACATGAGTGGAGTCCTTCAGAAGTTCCACTCAGAGGTGGAAGATGTCATAATCCCAAAAGACTCGGAAGAGCTTTGAATCATGGCTGGACTTCTGTTCTCCCAAACGACTGGAGCTGCAAAAACTCTCCACCCGACTCCAACTGGAGGTGGAACCTCTTGCAGAACTCCTTCTTCTCCGGTTCATTTGGGAGTTTCTGATTGGTCGATGGACCAAAACAGAGGTGTGTTTTGTGATGTAAGGTGTTATGAAAAGTCAAGGAAAAAGATTAAGATTGTTTAAGAACAGACAAAAGATATTATGAAGAACTTCAGACTTCGTGGAGTCAATTCTCTAGTATCTTGCTGTAAAAGTTAAACATGACATTTCTTTTTCAGTAAACTTGCAGTTGACCGAAACTTGAACTTTGACCAACTTACACACTTGCTCATTGAAGACAGAAAATCAGACAATGCATCATTAACCTGATTTCTTCTTTGAATGAGGATTAAAAATCGTTATTACTGTTTCACAGTTGATTTAAAAATGAGTAGTTCACTTCAACATTTAAACATTGTTTGAACTAACACAATTTGATTATCAAACATTTGTAAAATAGTAATGATAATTGAAAGTAGTGTTCTTCCACTTGATTTCACTTTGAAAGAAAGTCTCAGGATGGGTCAACCTGTATTTCTGGATTCAAATCAATGAAATGACAGTTTCTGTCCCATAAGGTGCCTAAGGTCAAGGTTTTGACATCAGGCCTAGTTCACTACAGCTGGACTCATCATTGTTTGTGATGCATCCCACCACCGCTGTATCATCTGCAAACTTTACAATGTGACAGCCTGGATGGGTAGCTGCACAATCATACGTGAGCAGAGTAAACAGGAGGGGGCTCAACACACATCCCTGAGGAGAGCCAGTGCTGAGGGTTATGGTGGAGTCCTCTGCAGTCTCCTTGTCTGAAGCCATGTTTCGAAAGATGAGCTCCAATTTTCTTCGTAGCTCATTAGCAGAACAACAGTTACTCGTCCTGTCTGCTTTAATTTGCCGATGTAAACAAATGAAGGTCTGTCATCATTTACCGCTATTTTGACTTTTTTTTTACACCGGACCAAACCATGTCAGTTTGTAGGGAGATGAAAGGTTTTCACAGCAGTAAACATACAATTTTAGTGTGATCTCTGCATTTTTTTCACCTTTGACCTTTGGAACTTAGGACAGCAGTAACATTTAATGATGCACTTCTGAAAACTGAAACTATAGAAAGCATTTTAGGACATGGATTAAAGTAATAAAACTTTTAAAGTGGGGATCAGTGTAACGGTTGTGAGCAATAAGCATATGATCTGTTCAAGATGACTGATCAACTTTCATTTGGAGGTTTTACTTTGTCAGAATTGATGAGCTCGTAATTCATTCAACCTTTATATATACACAGGTTAATCCCACTGAGCCTCAGTTGGTCAAAAATGTAACCCTTTCACCACCTGGCTCGTTATATTTTGAGATTAACTATTAAATATAGGTCCCAAATAACTTCCAATTACCTTATGGTGAAAAAGACATTCCAATGTATATTAACTCTGTCTAGAAGGATAATTATGATTCTCACGAGGTTTACCCACAAAAACAATATAACAATATAACCTAAAAGTTATTTTTTACAGTGTAGTGCCGAATGAAGAAATGAAATTCACGCAGGAAATATGTTGGGGGTTTTTTGTGCTTTTGTATTAAACACATGAATATTGAGCCTAATGGCTGGTCCTACGATCTGTATTTGGTGAGATAATCACACCTTTCAAATAAAAAAATTTAAACAAAAACACAAAGCTCCATGTCACAACATCAGAATTGGTGTTAAAAAAATTGTGTTGCACAAACCAAACTTGAAATTTTGGTACCACCAATTAGAATATGAGTTTCTGTTTCTTCGTGTCAATAAATGAGCTCCACAAAAGCTTTTACACGTTCAAAAACTGAACTGAATGTGTTGGTTTTTTTAAATATAATTTTCTTCCATTTATTTTTCATTTTATATGCGTTATGATTGTTTACTATTGTCATCTGTGTTTTTGTTTAATAGGTCTCTCTTGTAAATGAGTCCTCGAGGCTCAGTTTGAACATTGGAGATGGGTCGTGGCTGGGTCTTCCAACAAGACAATGACCCGAAGCACACAGCCAGGAGAACCAAGGAGTGGCTCTGTAAGAAGCATATCAAGGTTCTGGAGTGGCCTAGCCAGTCTCCAGAACTAAACCCTATAGAAAATCTTTGGAGGGAGCTCAAACTCCGTGTTTCTCAGCGACAGCCCAGAAACCTGGCTGATCTAGAGAAGATCTGTGTGGAGGAATGGAACAAAATCTCTGCTGCAGTGTGTGCACACCTGGTGAAACACTACAGGAAACCTTTGACCTCTGTACCTGCAAACAAACACTACTGTACCAAATATGAACATTGATTTTCACAGGTGTTCAAATACTTATTTGCAGCAGTAACACACAAATAAATTATAAAAAAATCATACATTGTTGATTTAGATTTTTGTAAATTTTTTTTTTAGATTATGTCTCTCACAGTGGACATGCACCTAAGATGAAAATGTCAGGCCCCTCCATGATTTCTAAGTGGGAGAACTTGCAAAGTTGCAGGGTGTTCAAATACTTATTTTCCTCACTGTATATAAACACGCACATACACACCAGTATATATAAATATATTTTCATGCAACCTTTATTTAAACAAGTTAGTCCCATCTAGCCACGAGGACTCATTTACAAGCGACTTGAATTTATGCACAATTGACGGCTAACAGATATCTTGGTTTTAACTATCAGGCTGATACAAATCACAGTCAGCTGTGAATCATTCGATGGGTAAAGGAGCGCTGCTTTAATGAGAAGAACAGCTACAACTGGAAATGTGAGTGGATATTAAACACAAACTACTCACATCAATGTGTAAATAAAAATAATATCTGGTACTTTGAGTGCGAAGTGTGAAGGTTAATGTTTAATTTGTTCTGCTCTTTGGTGTCAGCAAGTCTGTACAAAGCGACCCAGTCTTCATGTTTGTTCTGGTTTCTGCAGATATTGTTTGACAACGCTGATGATGGTTGATACCTCAGCCATGGCGCCTTTACCTACGAGAAAGAACAAACTGGTTACAGAAATACATTACAAAGAAATCAGAGCAACAATTCACACATAGAGCTGCAATCAAAGTTCTTGAGAACACTTTTTGTACATTTGCGCATCTAAATCTGAGCCAGGCAGTAAAAATGATTTGCTACAAACCGACACTAACCTGACGGACGTGTTGTTAATTAGTTTGCTGTTAATCTGTATTTTCATCTTCTCTTTCTCACTGCCATTGCACATTCAAATGACTTGGTTTATGAACATTATACAGGCTGTATTTGTGAGTTTTAACTGGTGGAACAGTTATGGTTTGTTTGTGGTCAGCGCAGCCATGCCTCATTATTGATGTTGGCTGTGATCTAGTGTGTTTTCTCTCTCACAACGTTAAGGCGCCCGTAGGGTTTCTTGTGTCTCAGATTTTATATTTTAAGCTCTGTGCAAATGTAACTCTGCTTTGTGTGACTCATAACTGTGAAGGTTATCTGTACAGAACTAATATTTTTTATTTCTAAAAAAATGTGTGGATAGAGCCATAAGATAGGTACAGGATCGAGTCAATCAACAACGCTGATGCTGGCTAAACATAGAGTTTGATTATCTGGGTCACTGGTGCGGGGGGGGGGGGGGGGGGGGGCATCCAGCAATTAAAATCATTACGTAAATAAACCAAAATTTATAATGATCTGTTACCTTTTAATTTTTTTTTTTTTTTTGCATTGAATCATAAATCCGCTCACAGACTTATGTTCATGTTTGTGCTGATGTTCAATGTTTTATGTTATGAGTGCTTAGTGTATATTTAGTTGATGTTTTTCTTAGTTCATATCTTAGATGTTATTACTGTTTTTCTTATACATTTTATTGTTGGATGTAACTGGGACCTTGTGTACATAATTTCACTCCACCACATGTACCACATGAGGTGCGAATGACAATAAAGAAACTCTGACTCTGACTCTAAATGCAATAAACAGAACCCAAACCCAGAAACAAACAAAAAAAAAAAAGAAAGTTTATGAAGTGTGCTGGATTGAGGTCACCGGCCCGCGGGCCGCCAGCTGAATAGCCCTGATTGAGAGTATGTTTTTGGTCTGTGGGAGGAAAACGGAGTACCCGGAGAAAATCCATGCATGCACGGAGAGAACATGCAAACTCCACCCAGAAAGGCCCCCAGACAGGGATTATTATTATCATCATTTAACCTTTATTTATACAGGTAATCTTATTGAGTCATGAGAACTCATTTTCAAGAGAGACCTGTTTTTGGGAGCAGATGTTTGGGGTCCCATAGTGGGGTAAATGAGGATGGAGGCAGGTGTGGGTGTTTCACCTTTTCCACCCACATTTTGATGTTGACAGTACCGGGAGTTGATCATGTGACTTTCCGACCACAGTTCCATCTTCTCTAACCTCTGCGCCACCACTCCCCAACCATTCAAATTATCTTCTTGGGTTAGTTGGACACTAAAGCTCGTTAATTTGACCAAACAGAAAGAAAATATTTAATTAGAATGCTTTCAAAATAATCCACTGAGAGTGATAATAGTTTAATTAATAACAAAGGCCATAAATATATTTAGTTTAGGTTTGTTAAACGCAACAGGGGGGTTTGATTGACGGAATAAAAATAATTGAGTGTAGCATCCTGTAATGTGGAGTCCATACAGACCAAGCTGTTGGAGCAGAAAACTCTACAACATGCTGCGGAAATGAAAACGTTTAAAAGTGGCTTCGAACACGGAAACATCTCTGTCTTCATCAGTATCTAAAGAGAGGAAGATGTTAACTGACCTGCATTTTTCCTGGGTCAACCAGGCACGCTTCACAAAAGAACTGCTGCTCTGAACACGTCAAGGTCAGTTTAGAAAACGAGCAGAGATAAAAATGGTTTCATCTGTACAGACTCGCCACTCATTGCTCGGCTTTTGTTTGTACACGGAAAATTATAATTTATACATAACTAGAGCAAAATGAAAATCAAGAGCATGTGAGAGACGTTCAAACAAAAACAAATGCTGCACAATATGAGCACGATAAGTTGTTTGGGGGGGGGGGAATGGGTAAAGATTCACTCGTCTGTTTTAAAGTCAGTGTTTTTCAGACACTGTTCAACAAATAAATGACGAGCAGTTTGGAGCACACTGGGTCACTTTAGGTCACAGTCTAAATAAACACAGCCTAAAAACATTTAAAGTTTCTTGAGTTTGCAGCAACATTTCAGAACCTAAACCTACTGAGAGCACCAAGCAAATCATTATGACCTCCCCCACTCGGCCTTTACCGTTTCCTCTTGATTTACACACGGCTTTGCTCTTGCTCTCAAACTGGGGGAGACAAGTCAGGGAGGGGCTCTTTTTGTTATTTCAACATGGAGGGCAAAGCATAAATTATTCATTTTACCTCACCACTTTGTTTTGGCTGAAGGTTTTATCTTTTGATAGGAACCATTCAGTTATTTCAAGCATGTGAAGTGGTGGTAATTATACACGCCTCCACCCCCTGCTCACACCTGCAGTTGTGGTGTTAATTTGGTTGTTTCTTTAGAAAAAGACACGGCTCCTGGTTTCTATCATCACCAACGATGCAAACAAGTCATCCAGAGGAAAAATACAGATATTTTCAAACCCTGATTCCACCAAGAAACGTTACCGTCCCACTAGAAGATGGAAAAACCCTGATTTATAGCAGCTTTTCCACAACCACATGTTGTTCTTTCAGGCCATAATTCTATCTGAACACGTTGAGTCAACAGACAAACTCAGTAAGTTCACAGGAATCTTTACATCCTCCTAAATCACTATCAGATTCTTTAAAATGTATGTTGGTGAGATCAGAGTTGTCCTCGGTCATTTCCTGCATACTTGAGCTGCATTCTTGCGTAAGTCACAGCTACATCGAAGAAAACACAGAGCATCATACATTTCCATGGATTTTTTCTTTTGCACACCTGAACATATTTGGTTTGTAAGGCAGGCGAAGCTGTAAAACCACACCAACTCTTGACCAATCAATTAAGCTGGTGAAAAATGATAAGACACTCCTTAAAAGCGGTCACTATGATGCGAAATGTTAGGATATTTAACACACATTGTTGTTTACAGGTATCATAACAGTGGTTGTTAACAGGAAGTAACTATTTCCGAACAGTTTAAAGTTCCTATAGCCAGAGCTGCAGATATAAATACAAAGATTCATTAAATCACACATGTTGACACAACAACCTCAGATTGAACAGAGAAACGTTTAACATAGTTGCTGAAAATGAAGACTACAGCAGAGTTTAGTTGATGATTTCTTTTGAAAAACTGCAGAGATTCAAAGAAAGTGCACTGTTAAAAAGAGCCAGCAGGTAATTTCAAACAACCAACTTCAAAGGTCTGAAGACGTTCATATGATGGATTTATTGTTGGTTTCTGCCGGTCAACCTCTGACCCGCGGGTCAAGTAGTTTTAGGTATGGTGGAGTTTTTTTAAAAACAGTTACAAGAAGAAACTCTCTCCAAAAGTTTGTGACAAGGTTCTACAATCATTTTAGTTGGCTAGTGTGTTTTATTGTAGGAAGAATTATTGCCTTATTTGTTTGAAATCTTTTGGACATTTTTTTTTTTTTACGGAAACGGTAATGTTTCTTTGAATACGTTTTTCCTGTCTTTACGGTTTTTATCCTGTCAGTTCAGAAAAACAACACAAAACAATTTGGGGGTATAGAGGCGCTAATGTAAGTTTGAATTGAATTGATGTTATTAAAGTTCATAATTTTTTTTTCTCAAAAATATTCAGATTATGTAAAAATGATATATTTGAATGTGTATCTGAAAATATTTTAAATAAACAATATTGCACCTGAGTTATACAACTGTATGGAGGAAGTAAATATCGGTAAAAGTAATTGTTTTTTTTCTGGAATTTTATGTGACGGAATGATAACTTCACTCAAAATATAATTAAGAAAGAAAATAAAGGATATTTTATTTAAACCCACCTTCATCTCCACAGACTAGCTTTTTAGTAATACAGGGAATCTCCACATATCCAAACTCTTTGAGCCTGGATACCTGCTGGGCTGTAATGGGATGCTGCCACATAGCTGTATTCATAGCAGGGCAGAAGACAAGAGGTCGACTGATATCCCAAGCTCTTACCACACAGGTCTGAAAATTCAAATCTTAATTAAAACTTCAATAAATGCAGGGAAAATGTGTGATAGATTTTTGTTTGTCAGTATATTTTAAAACAGTAAAAACTAGTTTTTTCACCATGTTCTCACCAGGATATTGTCACAAATGCCAGAAGCAATCTTTCCCAGGGTGTTGGCATCAAGGGGGGCAATGATTAGTAGGTCTGCCCATCGCCTTAGCTCGATGTGCAGCACAGGGTCAGATCTCTGTGTCCAAAGCTAAAGAGACAGGATGTTTAGAAAAAAGCCAGTGAGAAAAATATTTCCTAACCATCTCACAGGAATGCATGATGCCAATATTTCACAATCTTTTTGGCCCTTGACCAGGTTTCTGTGTCTCAAATTTCTCAGAACTGGCTGTGGAGTACCAACTCATAACACAACTTAATACGTAGTGATTTTAACAACACTTAATGAGCTTGAAGCATCATATGGACTACATCAATATATACATTATAGTGCATGTTGATTTAATAAACCTTTAAAATGGGATATCTGTGTAATAGGTGAAAACAAACAAATATAATATGAACGACAACAAGATAGAAAGTACTTCCAATGGCATCAGTTAATATGAAGATTTGAAATAAATTCATTTTATACCTCCCACTCATCCTTTTCACTGTAAATTTTTACTGACACCTCTGCAGGATCGTAAAAGTGTTTGGCATGCTCTGTAGTGACCACCCGTGCATCCACCTAAGACATAAAACAAGACAATGGCATTGATAATTTTTAGAAGGCACTATGATCTTCTGTATAAACAGAAAAAAACTGTAGTAAATTATTCACAAAATTGTGTCATATATGTTGGTGAAGATTCTCAGTCATCCAGGACATGATGAATTCAAAAAGCATTCAATACAAAAACAACTGGACTTTATTTGTAACAGAAGACGTTTCGCTCCTCATCCGAGGAGATTTCTCAATTCAAAGAGCAGAGACTGAGAGGTTCAGGTTATAAGGCTGAATGAGATAAGACACACACATATGTAGATAGGCAGTTCACACCTAAACACCTTAACAGTAGGTCTTTGTTCCTCTAATTCACAGACGAGGCCCCTCTGTTTCCATCAGGTGTGAAAACCGGCTGGGAATCTGTTTTAAAGTTGCATTATATGTTTTTGAAAGTGAAAATCTGAGGCCTCCTCCTCTGTTAAGAGACAGCTTTTCTCTTTTTACATAAATTGCCTCCTTCACCCCCCTCTCAAACCATCTGTGTTCTCGGTCCAAAATGTGCACATTTTGGTCCTCAAAAGAGTGTCCCTTCTCTGTGAGGTGGAGGTGAACTGCGGAATTTGGTCCAGAGGAGGTGGCTCTCCTGTGTTGAGTCATGCGTCTGTGAAGAGGCTGTTTAGTTTCTCCAATGTAGAGATCTGGACAATCCTCGCTGCACTGGACCGCATACACTACACCACTCTGTTTGTGTTTGGGTGTTTTGTCCTTAGGGTAGACCAGCCTCTGTCTGAGAGTCCTGCTGGGTTTGAAACATCAAGATCACCAGAGAAGATGCAAACGACAACAAACTGCCTTTTTTGGACTGTTTGGTTCAGATGGAAAGAGAGAACAGCCTCAACATTGAAGTTTACAGAAAACCAACCCACACAGACCAGTATCTTCTGTTTGACTCCCACCATCCACTGGAACACAAACTCTCTGTCATCAGAACTTTACAACATCGGGCCGATCGCGTCCCCACGAAGACAGAAGGGAAGGAAAAGGAACAGAAACACATTCAAGAAGCTCTCCAAACATGTGGATATCCTAACTGGGCTTTTGTCAAGTCAGCGAGGAAATCTACAAAACACACTAATAAACAGAAAAGGAGAACAACAGACGTAAAAACATTGTCATCCCTTATGTTGCTGGAGTATCAGAGAAATTCAGAAGGATCTTCAACAAACACAACATCCCAGTACATTTCAAACCCAGCAGGACTCTCAGACAGAGACTGGTCCACCCTAAGGACAAAACACCCAAACACAAACAGAGTGGTGTAGTGTATGCGGTCCAGTGCAGCGAGGACTGTCCAAACCTCTACATTGGAGAAACTAAACAGCCTCTTCACAGACGCATGGCTCAACACAGGAGAGCCACCTCCTCTGGACAAGATTCAGCTGTTCACCTCCACCTCACAGATAAGGGACACTCTTTTGAAGACCAAAATGTGCACATTTTGGACCGAGAACACAGATGGTTTGAGAGGGGGGTGAAGGAAGCAATTTATGTAAAAAGAGAAAAGCTGTCTCTTAACAGAGGAGGAGGCCTCAGATTTCCACTTTCAAAAACATATAATGCAACTTTAAAACAGATTCCCAGCCGGTTTTCACACCTGATGGGAACATAGGGGCCTCATCTGTGAATTAGAGAAACAAAGACCTACTGTTAAGGTGTTTAGGTGTGAACTGCCAATCTACATATATGTGTGTGTTTGTCTTATCTCACTCAGCCTTATAACCTGAATCTCTCACTCACTGCTCTTTGAATTGAGAAAGCTCCTCGGATCAGGAGCAAAACGTCTTCTGTTACAAATAAAGTCCAGTTGTTTTTGTATTGAACGTTTTTTGAATGTCATATATGTTCATTCTAGTGTTAAAGCTTTTGGTATTGCTGCCAAATGTCTCCATCGTGCGGTAAAGATAAAACTATGCAGTCAGTTAACTAATATTGGTGCGTGGTTCCGTGGGTTTACATGACGATAACAATATCTGGCAGCGTAAATTTGAGTAAGAACAAATTTTATAAGCGTGAAGCAGCTTACGCTCGGGAGCTGAAGAAGCTGGGAGATCAAAACGGGCAGTTTCAAAGCTGCAACACTTCCTGTTACACCAACAAGAATACAAAATGTTCCCGAAGACTTCAACAAATCAGTTTGCAGAGATGAAACCAGATTCTCGGTCTGCATATTAGTCGTATCGCTAAAAACGATGCTAAACAAGTTGACGTGATAGCGCGGGTCTATGCTACTTCCGTAAATATCCACTAGGAGCCAATCAGAAAAGAGCACGAGCGAGCGCGTCGGTACGTCAACATATTGTGAACGCGCACGTTGGCAGAATGTTCTGGGAACGCTTCCTGGCTAGTTAGCATGTTGCGCGCAGGCTCCATTCATTGATTATCTAGTTAAATTTTATTTGAAACGAGTTATTTTTAAAGTCAGCGATGACTCTTACGCCTCTTGTTTACTGGGCTCAACGTCATGAAGAGATTTACCTGCGTGTGGAGCTGACAGACGCCCAGGTGAGAGTTTTTTGAGGATTTTATTCCGCTTTATTTCAAGCCTCCAAGGATAAATGCAAATAAGGACTGGGTGTATTTTTGTAAATACGGCTGCTGGTTTGCATGTTGGGGGATAAAATAAAACATATTATTATTATGAATGCCATTATTACCCGCTGGCACCCATCGAACGCGGGGGCGGGCTATAAATGTCCCTCAGTTTGAGATATAGTAGATCCGGGGCGGACACTGTGTGAAAACACTCATTTCCTGAAGAGTTTCGTTAAGAAAGGACAGAAATAACTAATGCCACAATTGCTCTTTAGCTTATAAAACCTTAAGGTAGGTTTAACTTATTCTTTTGGGTTGTAACTTATTAGTTCTGTAAATGTGTTGTGGTCAGCTGGACTAAAGGTGGGGTGATGGTAAAAATTGATTCAGAAAGAGGAACTGCTCACAATCTGCTTTTTTCTTTCTGCAGCATATTGATGTCCAAGTGCATGAAGATGTCCTTCATTTTAGAGGTGAGATGTTTATCAATTTTACGCATATTTAAATTGTTCGTATTTTCACAGACTTTTTGTATGTTTGCTTTGTGTAGCCCAGGGGCATGGTGCAAAAGGACAAAATGAATATGGGTTCAGTTTACAGTTCCTTTTACCAGTAAAGCCTGAGGTACACATTTCCACTTCAACCACTTATTTATTACTAGCATCTGTTTCACTTTTTCCTAACTACGATTATGGCATGTGCCCAGGTGAGCCACAAGTCCACACAGCGACAGGTAAACATCACAGTGAGGAAGCAGCAGCGAGGCTGGTGGAGCAGGCTGACCCTGCAGGAGCGTAGACCCGTCTTCCTGGCACCGGACTTTGACCGCTGGCTTGACGAGTCAGACGCCGAGATGGAGATCCGGGAAAAGGTGAGACAAGTTAAATCTGGTCCTCTGGACATTCAAAAAAAAAACAAATGTCCGGAGGACCAGATTTAACTTTTTTAGGTGAGACTAAATATATTTTTTCTCTTTAATCTCTGTTTCTTTGCAGATCTTTTAGCTGCCGTATTGCGTAACACCAAGACTTAACATTTCAAAATGCAACTGTGTGAAATTAGATAATTGCACTGAGGTAAAGGCAAGCTTTTAATGTTTTTTTTTTTTTTTTTTTTTACTTTAAGGAGGAAAAAAAGAGCAGGATGAGGGTTGCAAGACAAACAGAAGAAGGTGGGTGTAAATCCTGATTGTTACTTTGTGCGATTAGGTGTTTTCGAAATGGCTCCAAGTCACTTTTAAAGAACATTCAATCCAGAACGTGCCGTTTTAACTCTGTTGTTGATGCCAATCAGCTAATATTTTCACATTTTTAAAAATCTTCCAGGGTTTGTCAGCCTCAAAACAGGCTTTTTGTTTGTTTATAACCTGGTGCAGTTTCTTGGGTTTTCGTGGATCTTTGTCAACATGACTGTGCGCCTCTTCATATTTGGCCAAGGTAAGAGATAATGCACTAGTGCAGCTTGATATGTTTACATTTTTAATAACCTAGCAGAAGTACCACATTAAATATTCACTTCTTACTAATTTCATTTCAGATTCGCTCTACGACACATTTCACACGATTTCGGACACGATGTTCTTCTGCCAGATCCTGGCATGTGTTGAAGTCCTGAATGCTGCCTTTGGCTTCGTCAGAACAGCAGTTATTCCCACTCTAATACAGGTATAGGATATTTGAAATTCTGCATCAAAAGTCTTACTGGCAGACCAACTAACCGTTTTGTCTTCATGCCTTTTATTGCTTCCATTTGTTTGTAGGTGGTTGGAAGGAATTTTATCCTCTTCATCATCTTTGGTAGTTTGGAAGAAATGCACAATCGTCCAGTCGTGTTCTTTGTTTTCTATCTGTGGAGCGCCGTCGAAATTTTCAGGCAAGTGCACATCAGTAGTGTCGTAATCTTTTATATCCAGCAGATATTCTTGGTGGGGAAAAAGTATGTATATAAACATAAAAGGAGTAAATAAATAAAGAGAATGATTTAAGATACTTTCACTCTAATAAAACCCTGTCTGGGTGAAGTTTACAAAGTTTAAGGTTTTAGTAAAGATTTGATCGTTGATCATCGGCACCAGCAGGTCTTCTGTTACAAAGATGCATTGTTGCGGATGCAAATGTTGTCAGCTGATGAACATCACAACTTTTCTCTGCTTTAAACCAACATGATGCTCCATTTCCAGGTATCCCTTTTACATGCTGGCATGTTTCAACACAGAGTGGAAAACCCTGACGTGGCTGCGGTACACAGTGTGGATCCCTCTGTATCCGTTAGGTGTTTTAGCTGAAGGTGAGCTAGTTTACATCCATCTAATTTACTCTATTCACTATCACGTTATAAAATAGACATCTTTTATTTTTCCCCTATTTCATGTAGCTGTTGCGGTGATTCAGTCCATTCCCATATTTGATGAAACCAAACTCTTCAGCATTCCTCTGCCGAAAGTCATCGGTACCTCAGTCAGCTTCTCTTGCATCCTGCACGTCTATCTAGTGCTCATGTTTTTGGGTAAGTCAGCAGAGCAGCTTATCTAGGCAATCGTTCTCATTTATTTTTAGTTCTGATATCAATCGTTTTTTTTTTTCTCCTCCAGGGCTTTTTATTAACTTTCGTCACCTTTACAAGCAGAGGAAGAGGCGTTTCCGCACCAAGAAGAGGAAAGCAAATTAAAAAGGAGCGCAAATGGTTTTCTTGAACACCTCTGCTGCCTGCTTGCTTCTGGACGCTTTTATGAGGATCACCGTGTTCCAAAACCTTGCTTCTTTCAAATTACTGCTTTTCAAGTGAATTCCTCTTTTTCCACATCCTGTTTGATCTAAAATAATGGAGTCGTGCTAATCTTGATATGCATTACAGATCTAACAATTATTTTTTTTTTTTTTACCTATTACAAAAACAGCTGGGCTGTAATCATTGTGTAAGGCTCATCAAAAATCTGTTCTGAACTATTATCTTCTTATTTTAATGATTTATTACAATGAAGGTTTTTCTCTGAATGAAAATAAAAAGTTATGTACACAAAACGATGCCTTCGTTTTCCAGAAATTGGTTCTCCACACAGCCTTCTGGATGCTCCCGAACTGTCCAACTTTAGAATTCATTCCAAAGCGTTGTCTCAGCTTGAAAAGTCAGTATGCATGGGTTGAATGTTGTGCTCAAAAGCAGCGTACTGGGAGTCACCGGAGCTGGCTAGTTTGAGTTGATGTGCGGCATGGGAGAGCTGGAAAGCTGCATCGGGGTGGGCGGAGTCTGGCAGCAGGGTGCACTCCCTCTCCAGGAGCTCAGCCACTCCTTTCAAGAGCTCCCAGAAACCAAAAGCCAAAGCAGCTTTCCGCAGACGGTTCAGCTCCTAAGAAGAAATATAAAGCAGAAATTATAAAATGTTGGGGTTTTTGTTGAGTAGAATTGTTTCAGCTAAACTTACTTTGTAAAAAGTCTGAGTTTTATCTGGTATTTTTCTCGCGTTCCTCAGGATCTTCTGGACATCAGTCTGTACAATGACAGGAAATGACTCAAAACATGTTTTTGACCAGTACTCACTTAAACACAGGGATTAGGACTTTAAAAAAACAACAACTTTAAACTGAGCGCACGTGTAAACTAAGCTTTGCTTTTCACATTGCTTTTTACAATTAACGGCGCATGCATGCATAGATATTTCTGTACCTGCAGTCCACTGGCCTTAATCCACACAGTGGCATTCAGGGCGTAGCTTCTTTTGACCGATGGCTGCACAGGAAAAGGACTTTTACTGTCATCCTCTCCATAGGGATTTTCAGCAGCCTCTAAAATACCAGAGAGGAACCAATAACAGCAACATTATGCAACTCATTGTAAACAAAGCATATGGGTGGGTAATCATTCACTGTTTGTTTGCTTAAGTACACACACAACCATTTAAGAGTTAGTCATATTATGAATGAACAGTTGCACATTTAAAAAAAATCACCCTCAGGGTTAAAAAAGTTGGTGCCAGTTCTTACTGGTGGTAATGGGGTGAAACTTTACCTGAAATGGGGCCTAAATGAGAGATCTTGCCCAGCCAGGGCAGAGGCTCTGAGCCAGGCTCAAACAGAGACATCATCAGGTTGGACTTCTTCTTGCTGTCTGCTTGGGAGTACAACATCCCAAACCACTCTGGCCTTGCACAAAGCAAGACAAACTGAATTTAGTCACCTGCTATTTATAATAAATAGGTTGGCAATTAAATGTACCTGGACGTGTAAGTTATCAACAATATGGAACTCTTAGTTTTATCTCACCCCAGCTGGACCAGTGCCACCATTCCCTCAACCTTCAGACTTCCATGTAAAAGAACACAAAAATTAGGACTTTTGCCTGCCATTTGGCTGGCAGAGGGTTCCTCCTCAAGCTCATCTGTGGCTCCTGTTCCAACTTCATCCACATCTGAAATCAAGTCCAAATACCATCATCCATCTCTGACGATACAACAAGCTCAATAATGTTATTTTACATTGGTAAAACTGTGTGTATCTGATATTTTGTCTCTTTCCTGATGTTTATTTCTATCTTGTTGAATCATTTATTAGTATTTCAGCAGTAAAATCTTTAAAACAAACCTTTGTTCACAGCAATAGGAAGGACCAAGTGTCTGGATATTACAGGAGGACTGGAAATGTCAGCAATTTCGATGAAACCCACAATTTTAAGATCTGAAATGACAGAAAAAAAAAAGAAGTTTTGTTTGTTTAAATGATTCTCTAAGGATATGGTGCTGACCTGTACCTGGATTGACTGCTCGGGGAATTGGGTCCACCTCTTCATCCATCACGACAGGCTCAGGACGAGGGAAAACCTGAACGTCTGATGACAAATTCCCACAATGCAGCACTGCATGGAAGGGGGAGTATGCACGATCGATCAACGACCTGGAAGATACACAAAACAAGCAATACAACCAAATAGAGACACAATGGATATGTAAAATATACTGGTGATTTTGTTCCAGTGTACCCAGTCTTACCCAAACATGGCTTGTACAGTTTTCATGCAAAGTGGACCATCCACAGTGAAGATCTGTCCATCCCCTCCACTGAGATGGAGCAGCTCCTCTAAGTTTTCCATGGCATCAGTCATTTGTAACTGTGATTGCACAAGACATGGACATTTTTAAAGCAGTAAATTCTACTGGAAGCTGTAAATGACTGAAATGCGTTGCGTGTAAGCTAAACTTCTCTGGCTCACAAGTTACAATGTTTGTGAAATAGAAAGTGTTGATGAAAATGTGTAAGAAAATCAATCCCAAATTATCAATTTAAATATTTACACTCCCAAATACTGTAAAATATGGAAGTCTTACAGAGGCTGGAACTGTTGAAAAGGATTACAATGTGATGCTCGTGTTCACATAGGGTTTGACCATAACTGGTCAATTTACATGAACTATTCACTTTATGGTGCATGTAAATAGATTAACTAACAAAAACATATGGTTCAGTACCTCCTCTGCATTAGCTATACACATGATGAACATTTTGGTGGGGAAGGGAAAAGGGAGTGGGAACTTCTTGTCATCTCCACGATGCTTTAGGTTATGGAGAGAGTGACGTAGGGAACCCTTTCCAATTCCGAGAGATCCGTCAGTAACTAGCACCACCTACAGGACAAACAAGGTGGTACATAAACATGAGAAGCTGGAGAGAAAGAACCCAAAGCTTTGGCTGCATGAAAATGTCTATTTAAGCAAAACAGCACCAAATGCAGCAGAAAATGGCTCGAGTTACAAAAAATTGTTAGTTTAATTTGTCATCTAAATATCATGTTTAGAGATATTTAGATCACCAGCATCAGTGTGTAAGTGGCATGTTGGAGATGAAGGAAGATAAATAGTTTAAACTACTTCAAATGCAATCTTATGAACAGAGAAACCAAATGGATTTCACATGTTTGGGGTATGTCTTGTACATAAATGTGTTTTATTTTAAAAACAAACAAACACATTAACTCATTTCTGTTCTGGATTATTGAGCATGAACTTTAATCAAATTTATGTGTATGTTGTCAAAATTATACTGTCTAACAATTCCCTGGATCACAACTGATATAAGTGTCCATGCCAACAGATTTAGTGAGTAAACAAAATAAACATTTTAAGTCAGTAATGTCTTATATTATGAAAATGTGGTAGGTTTAAATGGGGGGGGAAAAAAAGTGTTAGTGAAGCTTTTAGTAAGTGGCTGAAATATGAAATGGGACCCTGATTACACACTGTTTTATAAGATGAGAAAGGCTAAAAAGATGCTGAAAACTATTTTAACAGTGTATTGCATGTCCATCCATCCATTTTCTTTACCCGCTTATTCCATTTTTGGGTCACGGGGGTCGCTGGTGCCCATGTCCAGCAATCACTGTGCGAGGGGCGGGGTACACCCTGGACGGGTCGCAAGTCCATCACAGGGACACATAGAGACAAACGAGACAAACAATCATTCACTCTCTCACTCACACCTAGGGACAATTTAGAGTTACCAATCAGCCTAACATGCATGTTTTTGGACTGTGGGAGGAAACCGGAGTACCCGGAGAAAACCCACGCATGCACGGAGAGAACATGCAAACTCCACCCAGAAAGACCCCTGGACCAGGGTTTGAACCAGGGACCTGCTCGCTGAGAGGCAGCAGCTCTGTGTATTGCGTGTAAAATATACAATTTACTTGAATTATAGTTGAATAGTGGCTTAAGATCTCATTTGTAATAGTTGACTGAAATTTAGAAAAGTGGAAGAAAAAGTAACGTGAAAATACTGTGAGGATCTCAAATTGAGCATGAGAAATAAAATAACTGTTTTTCATTAACCTCAGCATTGTGTTGTACTAAAAATGTGCATATAGCTGAAAATCATCCTGACTCGTGCTCGATAATCCTGGTAGATTAAGGTTAAATCAGGTCCAGATGACCTGATTTAACGTTGTTAGACAGCTGAAATTGTTTTGTCCAAACAAAAATTTATTAAGACATTTAAAAGTTCAAAAAGAGCTTTGCTAAGTTACCTGACAGGGACAGGCGCTGCCCCATTCCTGCTGAACTACATTACTAACTCCATGAAGAGCTGATTCAATACACGTCTTATCATAATCTTCCAGGTTGCCAAGCGCCTCCTGAAAAACAACAAAAAAACATTAGACAAACCCTCACTTTTAATAATAAATTTCCTCTCTTTAAACATGACATGAGATTTACTACAGGGTTCTAACATGTGTAATATCAAAATTTCTGAGTGGAATATCCAGATTTAAAAATCCAGAGCTTTTTCTGTGCTTTGTTTACTTGTAATGCGTTGTAATCCCTGTTGAAAGGGACCAGTAGCTCCCAGAGGGAGGAAAAGGCCATCAGTGCTGTGAACTCCAAGCGATAGTTGGAAGCCATGTGTTCAAACAACATGTTCAGTCCGTGTACGGCCAGGTTCTTCCTCTGAAACTCCTCGCTGCCATCCTGAGACACCGGCCGTGTCATAGACAGGGACACGTCCATTAGCACCACTGTAGGCATGATGGTTCACCGCTGGTGTCCACTTACAATAAGAAAATAGATTTACTGGTCCCCAAAGAGCTCCCAGTTTGTTACGGACACTACTTTGTTTAAAAAGGCCTAGTTACTGATCTTCATCTGGCAAACACCAAAAAACGACGTTAAAGGTTTTCATGTTACCGGAAACTAATGTTGGCTAGTTAGTTAGCATTCTGCAATGTAACGAATAAAAAAACTCACTGAAGAAACGTTCCGCTTGTACTTATCAAATATGACCATATACAAATTAAATGAAGAAGTTATTGCGTAAATCACAAAACTAAGACGAAACAAAAGTCAACAAAGATGCACAATTATTTTTTTGTGTCATATCTGGCGGCGGTACGCTAGAGGTGCACCAAAATTTCCGTCCGAGTATCAACTTGATGTGCAACATACAGTTCCTATGTGTTTAAAGAAAAAGTTACACAAGTACAGTGTTTGGTGGAAAGGATAAAAAAAAAAAAAAAAAACTAGATGAAGTAACTTCACCTTTTTGATTAATGAAACGGTTTATAGAACAGGATGAGTTGGAGAGGAGAAACACAAGGTTTACCGATGGCCTCAAGAAACTCAGCAACTGTCACATTCATAAAAAAAAAAGAAGAAGAAAAACTTTTACAGCAGCCACTCGTCAAAAATTAAAATTTAAATAAACAACAAACTAAAGCAAAACAGTTACAGGTAATCTAAAGTATTCTATTAATTTAAGTTCTAATTGAAACGCCTACCATTTTAAAAGAAATGCGTAGCCATCAGCCATCATCTTTCATGCAGGTTTTCAATTAAAGTTTTAGACCTTGTTAATTATGTTCAACAAATTCAAAAAACGTTCAATACAAAAACAACTGGACTTTATTTGTAACAGAAGACGTTTCGCTCCTCATCCGAGGAGCTTTCTCAATTCAATGAGCAGTGAGTGAGAGATTCAGGTTATAAGGCTGAGTGAGATAAGACACACACACATATGTAGATGTATATTATATGATATGGTCAACAAAATGCTTCTCAGGAACATATGCCTGCAGGAGAACCTGTAGACGGTGAGGAAGATGGTAGTAACTGTGCTGATCCCAGAGAAAATGAGGGCATAGAACAAAATGGAGGAAACGAACTGAAAGCACTGTCCTTCGTGGTTTGAATCATTGGGCAAACAAATTATTTATATTTCCTCTTGGCCTTCATCTGGCGTCTGGGTCTCATAGTTCCTGGTGTTCACAACAAAGTGAGACTCAGAATGATGTTTTAGACAGAGCGTGACACAACAACTGTTTTGTGATTTGGTGTTTCTGCTTTTTGTACAGAAATTGTTTGTAATGACCTATTTGGTTTCTATTATCTGGATTAGTGTCTTCTTCCACCTTATACTGTGGCTGGCCTATCAGGTCTCGAAACTGTTTTTATGAAGAGCGATGATGGTTTCGCTCATGTCCACACCTAAAGAATCAGAATCAGAATAAGCTTTATTATCATTGCACAGTGAAGTACAGCAAGATTATATTCTGTACAGTCATCCGAAAGATGGGCAGAGTGTACGTGGCTGCAGCTCCTAGGAGCGCGACCCTTTATTCTTTAGATGAGAAAAGGGGAAAGACCATGAGGATAGTGGGTATAAAAAAAAAGACAAGAGGACAAGAGACTCATTTGAGGACCAAACTGTTCATATTTTGGACAGAGAAGATAAATGGATGGAGAGCTGGAAGACCGATGATTTAGGGGATGTTGGAGGCACCGAGGGAATTTCCGCTCGGTAAAACCCCTCCACTCTGGTGATGGGTGCGGATGTGGAAAAACGACACTCTCAGTCTACCAGGTCCGGCTGCAGCCTCGTTCCAGTAGGACGTCACTGCTGGGAAAACGAGGCCAGATGGGATCAGGACGGCGAGCCGGGGTGGAGCCAAAAAACCTTCCCGCTAGATCATCCGATCTGCGTGGGGGAAGGAGAGGGACGGAAAAAAGTCCCTTCGTGTCAGCCGCCTCCTGGATTATGCTGGGCAGCTCCAGAGGAGGGCACCAACGACTGGGAGCGGTGTGGTCGCCGATGCGAAAAATGTCCGGGGGGGTGCGCATTCACTCAGCCCCCCTCGTTCCGACACTACGCTCTCCAGGAGGGAGTGAGTAGTGGGGGCTGCTGCTGACGTCGCCTGTCCCGGAGGAACCATTCGATTCGCTCCGAGAGTCGGCGATAAAAGGAAAAATAAAAGATGGCGTCGTCCAGTGTGTAGCAACCCGCCACTGAGAAATATTCCTTGGCGCTTACCTTGAAAAAAGACTGCTCGTCTGCTTCTCCTCGGGGAGGAGAACTCACCGGGACGGCAGGAGGCTGGCGTGGCGGGATCAAAGGCAGCCTTAACAAAGGTTGTGCTGGTCAAGCTGGACAACTTCCCTTCTTCGTTCTTCTGACAGTGCTATTAGCTTGCTGAAGAAAAATGGGAGCCGATTACCCGCTCTTAACGTAATTTATACGGACCGGGTGGGGCCCACACAACAGGTGGGCATGGACTAAATTTTTTCAGTGCGATGCTTTGAATGACGTGATTAAACCCACTAGCGACAGCTCTTAAAGGGCGAAGCCTATACGAAATAGAACTGATGAGCTTGTCAGCAGGTAAGGGGCATTTACCTTTGGGACAAATTGAGGTTGTCGATTGGTCAGTTACTGACACACCTTCTGAGGTGATTGACAGGTTGCACCAAAAAAAACCGAGAGCTGCAGCAGCCGGGCTGGGAGGAGGCTGGTCTGCACAAATGCAGCGGAAGCGCAGCAGTCTCTCTGTGCAGCACAAGGCTCCAAGTAAAGCAGGAGGTAACCAGATATTTTGCTTGTGCCCTCACTGCCCTGGGCCCCTTAGAGATCATGGGCCCCTGGGCAGTTGCCCAGTTGCCCATATGGTTAATCCGGCCTTGCCTTTATGTCAATCAAGTAACAAATTTCATAGTGAGGAATCGATGATGGGCTGACGTGTATATTTTTTTAATGCTATGTGATCTACCCATAATGCCTTTGCAATCGACATCGACGTAGGCACCCCTGCGCTCCACCAGCCTCATCTGGCCACGCCCTCTAAGCGGATATGCTCATCTACGCGCACTTTTTAAACCAGTCTACAGTTACAGCGTCATTCGGAGTTGGATGCAGCTACAGAGACGTATCTACGGTGGATCGTAGATTCTTGCACTGTAAGTAAACTTTTCAAACTGTTAATATGTGCTTGTGTGTACAGATGAAAGTGGAAATTCTGGTTGCTTGGCAAAAATATAAATAACCTGGAGACAGTAATACATGCATTCATTACGTCCAGACTCGATTACTGCAACTCGCTCCTGTTTGGTATCAGTCAGACCTCCATTGCCAGACTTCAACTGGTCCAGAATGCTGCAGCCCGATTTTTATCCAGTACAGGCAAAAGAGAGCACATTACACCAGTTTTGGCCTCCCTGCACTGGCTACCGGTTCACTTCGAATCCAGTTTAAAATCCTTCTGTATGTTTTTAAATCACGGAACAGCTCTGCACCCTCCTATCTCACTGATCTGCTGCAGCCATATGTCCCACTGCGTTCTCTGAGGCCTGCGGACCAGTTGCTTCTCTCAGTTCCAGGACCCCGTCGTAAGCGCACAGGTGACAGGGCCTTCTCTATCGCAGGCCCTAGACTATGGAATGAGTTACGTCTACCTGTCAGACAGACCCCCTCCCTCACAGTTTTTAAATCCCACTTAAAAACCTACTACTATTCCCTGGCTTTCAACAATGTATGAGCTGTTGCTGAACACTGTGCTGATCATTATGTTATTATCCGCTATTATTTTGTTTCTATATTTTGATGTTATGTGTCGCTGTGTGCATTACCTGTTTGTTTCTGTTTGTACAGCACTTTGGTTGGCATTGTCGCTGTTTAAAGTGCTCTATAAATAAAATGGTATGGTATGCGAGGTTGCTTCAGAGAAATTAAAATTTTAACACTATGATTCGCACTTAGTACGAACTGTTTTCTTCTGTTGTTTAAACTGTTTGCTAGTGTCGTATGCTGGTCGTTTGTTGGTTTTACGCTTTATTTTAGGTGTTCTTTGAGCCATGTGACCCGACGTTGCTGTGCTAACTGCTAACACAAAGCTAAAAAATCAGGCGAGTCACCCTTGTTTTAAGCGGTGTTTCTGTTTTTTGACTTTGTTCTAGTGCTTGCTTCTTTGCTGGTTCTTGTTTTGTGCTTTATTCTTTGATGTGTTTTGAATTACGTGAATCGCTGTTGCGTGTGTAGCACATACCTGGCTAGAGAAATGTCACTTCCTGGTAAACGAGGTAGGCGGAGTATAAGTCAATTCAATTCAAATTCAAAAATATTTTATTAATCCCAGAGGGAAATTATTTGTTGTTGTAACTCGTTATCCTCACTTCATTAAGAGATGTTATAGATACTGATGGCTGTAGACAGGAAGAATCTCTTGTTAAAGTCCATCCCACAGTGGATCCTAAGAAACTGGCTGCAGATGCCGTTCAATCTGTCCACCCAGACTCGGCTGGCCTCTCGGTTCCCCCGGGCTGTAGGACTTCCCGAATGCTGGGAAAAACTCCTCCCAGAGCGATGGCCATTCCTCCCAGCAGTCTGCCGAGCTCCTCGTCGCTGCGGACAGCCAGCTGTAGGTGCTGAGGGACGATCCTGTCCTTCCTGTCCATGAGCCGTGTTTCCTGCTAGTTCCAGGATCTCAGTGGTCAGGCACTCGAGCACAGCTGGCAGGTAGATGAGAATGCATCCACAGAACATCCTTTCAACTCATTTGAGATTTGGGGCTGTAGTTGAGGTATTATTTGAGCTTTTGAGATGTTAATCAGCTGCTGGTTGCAGAAAACTGCCTTGTTGCTGTGGTTAGGCATCATAACAAATGTCCAAAATTAAAAAAGTTTCAGTAAAAATCCTTCCAGCTGTACATCATCTGATACCAGAGGAAACAATCATAAAAAAAAAAGTGATTTACATCCAGAAAAACAGGAATTAAAGTTTCCAAAAGCAAAATTTCAGAATGAAAGTAACAGAGCTGCTCCAACATGCAGCCACCTTGAGCGGCGCAATTCTAGAACATAAAAGGAAGTGGTAATACTCATTCTGGCACCTGTTTTCCTCCTGCTCCTACGTGGCTTGTGACCTGTGAGGTTTGGTTATGGCTGAGCAGCTGATCATGTTGTGCGTGCTGTTATGGCCTTCGTTGGGTAGGTGTCTTCTTCTCTTGCACTATACAGACCCTTTAAAAAAAATAGAATATCATGGAAAAGTTGTTTAACTTCCATAATTCCATTCAAAAAGTTAATATTTAATAGATGATAGATTCATGGCCAACAATTTAAACAATTTCAAGTATTTATTTGTTTATAATTTGGGCTTCCAGCTCATAAAACCTATGAAAACAGGATTTAAAAAAAACTAGAATACTTTGAAGACATCAGCCCACACTTCTCAGTTTTTGCAGGAAAAAAAAAAAACGAAATTAGGATCACAACAAATCAAAATATGGTACTTTCAAAACAATATGACATTCTTCAGTACTTGGTTGGGAATCCTTTGCCTTAATCACTGCCTCGATGCGACGTGGCATTGAGACAACCAGCCTGTGGCATTGACTGGGAGTTATGGAAGCCCAGATTTCCTTGATGCTTGCTGTCAGCTTTTTGTTGTTGGGTCTCATTTTCCTCTTGAGAATACCTCATAGATTCTCAGTGGGTTTAGGTCCAGCGAGTTGGCTGGCCAGTCAAGCACTGTGGCATGGGTATCAAACCAGGTTTAGGTGCTTCTGGCGGCATGGGCAGGGGTCAGGTCCTGCTGGAAGATGAAATCTGCATCTCCATACAGATCCTCAGCAGAAGGAATCATGAAGTCCTCTAAAACATTCTGGTAGACTGTTGTGATGACCTTGGATTTAAGAAAGCAGAGTTTACCAACACCTGCACCGGACATTGCGCCCCAAATCATGACGGACTGTGGATATTTCACACTACACAATACAGACTGGAGAAGGAGTTTAATTTGTTAACGCACATTTCATTTCTGAGAGAAGGCAGCATACATTCATCATTAACAGAAACATGGGTGACAAAGCTGTTTCTTTTAAACTGGGACCTTTGAGGTTTGCTAGGTCTTGTGATTCCCCTAGCAGGCTGTATGTCCTGTATATCTCCAAAAACTGGATCTGATATAATCTGAATCTGATGTTCAATAAAATCAACAATATCTGGGAAACATGCTCTTTGACCAGTTCTCTCAAAAATCTCATTTGCCTTTGTTCTCCACTTTTCTCTCAGTTTAAAAGGAAACTTTTGAACCAAGATTCTCATGTTGGCTGGCATGCTTAACTCCTCAAAATACTGCAGTTCCTCCATTGCATTGCAACATTCACGAAGGAACAGTCCAAATGTTTTTAATGCTTTAGCATCTTCACCTTTAATGTTGGGCCAACCATTGACTTTTTCCATGTAGGCTGCAGTAATATTAAATTCATTGCCAAAGTGCTCTTTGAGGAGTCGCTTGGCCACAGCAAATCCTCTTTGTGCAGTCATGTGAAGGCAACTGCGTATGAGGTCTCTTGGTTGCCCCCTGCTGTATTGATCAAGGTAGTACAAGCAGTCTCCTTTACAATTGGTCTTTGCCTCCACACAATGTTCAAAGACTTTCATAAAGGAGTTGAACTGTAGAGGATTTCCATTGTAGATGGGAACTTCTCGATGTGGTAGTGACTGGCTTGTCTGCACTTGAACTAGAAGAGCTGTTATGTCATTCTGTTGTTTCAACACACTGTAGAGGTCTCCAGTAGGTTGCTTTTGATTTGATGGAAGCTGAGTGTTTTGAGAGGCGGTATTTGTTTCTGGTAAAGTAACAGAATATTTAGAGCTTTGGACAGCAGGGGGAGCCATTTGTGACACAAAAGTAGTCTATACAGTGTCATCCACTTACCATACCATACCATACCATACCATACCATACCATACCATACCATA